TTCAGCAAAGACTAGAATTCAGACACAAGTTGGTCCCTGTACTCTCAGACGTTTTCCCGAAAAATATTGACACGGCCGGTGTATAAAGCATCACCAGTGCTTTCGTCTGTATGAATATTACCAGTTTGCAACGTATAATTGATATGTAAAAGAAACAGCGTTGGTGATAGCACGCAGCCTTGTGGAACACCAGCTTTAGTAAGTAGGCTTTGTACGTCCTTGTATGTCTTCTACGTCCTGCATGCTCTGATCAGCAAGAAAACTGGAGATCCAATTGGAAAACTTCTCGGGAAACCCATACGAAGGGAGCTTCGAAAAAAGACTTTGTGCCAGACCCGATCGAAGGCCTTCGCTGTGTCCAAACTAACGGCCAATGCCTCCTCCTTGATCTCTACTGCCTCCGCCCATCTATGAGTCAGGTAGACCACAAAATCACCAGCTGATCTACCCCGACGAAAACTGTATTGGCTGTCACTAATCAGCTGGTGATCCTCAAGATACCGCAAGAGCTGGCAGTTAATAAAGGATTCCATTATTTTGGAGAACAAGGAGATGATGGTGACAGGTCTGTAATTGGACGGGTCTAAACGGTCGCCTTTTTTAGGGATCGGGTGGACAAAAGCTGTCTTCCATGAATTCGGGACTACACCTTGGGAGTAGAAGTACCAGAAAAGACGCGTTAGGACCGGTGCCAACTCCGGAGCACACGTCCTCAGCACAATGGGAGGAAATCCATCAGGTCCACTCGACTTGCTGACGTCATGGGAGAAGATTCCTTTGCGAACCGAGCACGGTGTAAATTGCACATCCGGCATGGAGCACTAACACCGCGGGATGGTCGGCTGTGTATTCCCTCTATCATCGAGAGTCGAGTTGGATGCAAAGAGAGAGCCTAACAGATCGGCTTACTCCTTTGCAGCATGGGCCACTGAGTCGTTCTCTCTGTGCAGAGATGGAAGAGATGGCTGACACAAGTTCCCTTGGACAGCCTTGGCGAGAGACCAGAATGCACGGGTTCCCAAAGGAAGGCGAATTAGCTTCTCGCCAATTCCGCCGACGTGCTCAGAACTTGCCTTGGCTATGACGCTTTTGAAGGACCGGAATTTTTTTGAAGGAGGAATTATACTTCTTTTTAAGAGCGCTGGTGTTTATATCCCGAGACGTTGATGCGTCAGCCCAGGCCCGGTTGCACTCCTGCTTATAGCGTGATGCTATTTCACAAGAGCGACCAAACCATGGCTAGGATCTGCTTCCGATAGGCACAACAGAGTATGGAATAAAAATTTCCATACCCTGAAGTACCACATTAGCAACCTAATCAGTAACAACGCTGGGATCTTCTGGCGAAAAGCAAATCAGCCCGTAATGGTAGGATGCAAAAAAGAACGCATCTTATCCCAATCAGCCGACCTATAGTGCCAAACACGGCGGCAGCCTACACAATGCAACCGCCACGTTAGTGTGGATGGCACCACACTCCAGGCAAGTCAATGGTCCGGCAAACCTAAAGGAGCGTCAACGGAAACCTGATATTCATCCGGATGAAAGGTCAGCAGAAGGTCCAACAGGAAAGGTACATGATCCTCCACATCTGGAATCTGCGCAGGCGAAGTAACCACCTGTGTAAGACCATATGGCAAGGCAAAGCCCTAAACAGATCTTCCCGCATGATCGATTGAACTGGAACCAAGGCATTCGGCGTGGTGGGCGTTAAAATCGCAAATGATTACGATCTCTGCGGATATGATCTGCTGTAACAAGGTATCTGTAGCCATTTGAACGTGGTCGATGAGTCGGTCTGTTTCGGCATTACCGCTATGGGACCTATAGAGGCACCCGTAGACGTGGAGATGGTCGTCGCTGTCTACGCGCAGCCATAGGATGGACAGGTCCGTACCTTCGAGACAGCCAAGGTGTCTTCTCTGACGTATACGCAAACTCCAGCCCGGGACACAAAGGAGTGTTCTAATTTGTACCCCGGGTAGGAGAGATATGAAGTTTTAGCCGAAGAGGATACCTGAGTCTCGGTTAAAAAGAGCAAGGCTGGCTTCACCGCCTCCAGATGGAAGTGGACAGCGTTAAGGTTGTCCTCTGATGTTGCAAAAATTCACGGATAGCGTGACAGGCGTCGCCTTGGTCTTATTGCTCCGCTTGCTTCGCTTGCTCCATCAGCTGAGCGACTCCGACGGATACCGTACTGGCGGTCACTAATCTAGTGTTCTCAATATGGTGCTTCTCAAAGTACCGCATGAGCTGGCAGTTATAATTTTCGGTTCTTCATTATTTTCGAGAACAAGGCCTGTCATTGGGTACGGCTTAGAACGGTTACCTTTTTTAGGGATCGGTTGTAAGAAGAAGTCTTCCATGATTTCGAGACTACGCCTAGGGAGTAGAAGTACCGGAAAAGACGCATTAGAACCAGTGCCAATTCTGGAGTACACGTCCTCAGTACAATTGGGTGGAATACCATAAAGCCCATTCGATTTGTGGATGTCCAGGGAGTGGACTCCTTTGCGTGGAATGAACGACGGAGTAATCACCATTTCATCAATAGTCGAGTTGGATGCAAAAAGGGAGCCTGTAAAAGGTCATATTTTTCTTTTGCGGCGTGGGCCAGCGAGTTGTCCTCCTTATTCAGAGATTAAGTGATGGCTTACAAAAATTCCCTAGCCTTTAATTATAAATTCTTGAGATTCTTCTACAAAACGAAATCGTAATTTATTTAATTTCATAAATCTTATAGTTGAAATTTAATGGCCACTTATCACACTCGAAATAAGATTCTATGTCGCTTTCCTTTTCCCTCAGATTATACGCTGCTACGGCAATTTTACGAGAACAGTATGGATTTTGATCACGAAAAACTACTCAAATCACAGGTTTCATCAAATTGATTTTACCTAGATGGACGCATCTTATCTTAGATAAACCACTGCGGTAAAATAGGGGCACAGCAGACTGTGTTGCAACAAACGCTTCCCGAATATGGATACGTTTTTACTCATTCTCTGTCATTATATCTAAAGCTCTAGTGAGACACTGTTGTCTAACTTTTGTGTGTGTCTAGTGTGTTGGTTTTATGTTTATGAGTATTAGGTAGTAAACATGTTTATGAAACTCATGAACAACATCATGGATATCGAGATGAAAGTTGGCCAAAAGAGAATTATTGCAGGAATTCAATTACATATCATTGGTACCGTATATAATAATAACAAAACTTTACTTCAAGGATTCGTATTACTATTAAATCTAACATCTAAAACGCGATAACACAGAAAAGGAACGTTCTTGTAAACGAAACGTTGCGCAGTTTCTCACAAGATGTCACTAGATGAATATAAAGCAAATAATCTTGACGCTCGAGTACATTGAAGTTCACACTCGTCTTCAAGTGTATACTCAAGACGTGCCCCATTCGTAGAGTGTTCAATAGACTTTGTAAAGACCCTCTTATTCTTCTTTTATCTCTAGTGAAGTATGTGAAGTGGTGTTAAAATAATTATATCACTTTCGATATGAATCGATTACAATCAACAATCTTTGACTTTTGTTTCAAAGTTTTAAATTAATACCATAGTTTTTTTTTTTTTTAATTTAAATATTGAAGTGTAGTAAGATAATTCGTTAGAACCCAAATCCGTTATATTGAAATTGCCATTAACTTCTTTAACATCTAACTTAAAAAAAAACATTAAATAAAAACGTACTTTAAATTTAATTTCTGTAATTCTGTATCTATTTTAGCTAAACTCAAGGGTGAGAAATTACTTTATAACCATTTAGGTTCGTATTAAAGGTATCTAATCTAAAGGACATCGTGAAAAAACTCGATTAAATTAAGTTACTACAACGAAAAAGAGAGCAATTTCGATTCTCATAGAATTCAAATGAGCTTCTTATTCAAATACAGAAGTGAAGAAAACACTAAAACAGACGGTTCCACTCCGTTGAGTTGAAAAAGCGTCGAGGTATATTTTTAAGCCTGTGATCGCTGACTTTGTGACTTTACTAAAAGGCTTTGTGAATGGAATTGAAATGGTTTCCATTGCCTAAAACGTTTAAGTATTTGATAATTTTATCGTAAAGTTAAAAGGAAAGAAAAAAATTAATTGAGAAAGGGCATCAAGAGGTATTTATTTATTGAATTATATCAATTCTACAATACAATGCGAAAAGCCAAATTACGTTTAACGACATTCACAATTAATTCATTTAAATTTCTTTAAGCGACCATATTTAAGGATTAGTTAAAGCTTGGCTCCTTGTGAACAAATATTAAATGCTAAAAATACAGTTAATTTAAAAAAAATATATAAATAATTATAGTTTCCAAGATATTAAATATTTTATATTGCATAAGGATGATTATCTTCATTTTAAAAGAAAAATCTGTCAAACAAGACTCGTCAATCGATTACAATTCTAATTGATATGTTCTTACAATTTAACATATTATAATAATATATTCATTTTGTTGTTTTTTATTCCATCTAAAAGGTATACATAATCTACACTTTACTCTATTTTATATGGAACAAAATCATTTATCATTATTATTAGTATAAGTTAGTTCAGAATTTTATGATTTAATAGTATGTATCGACAGCAAGACATACTTCTTGAATAATCTATCCGATAATATGTATAAATTACTACTAATGTCATGAGGCCGTTTTACTAATATCCTATTATTATTTTTGATATATTTTTATAGGTATGTAAACACTCAACTAAATGTAAAGTTCTTTACTTAAATATTTAGTTTGTTCGCATGTTCTAATACTAATAATATTGTTATTTAATATAATTTTTATTTTCAAGTATATTATAATACATTTTCTACTTAATGATACACTTAACAGCTCAATTTATCATTAGTAAAATATTAAGACAAGGCTGTACAGGATATATACATTAACTCATCTTTATTAATTCTACAATCTACATACAAAAGTCTATTTAGAGTACAAGACTATTTTAGCGAAGACATAGTTGCATTAATACTGCGTCCAAGTTTTGGCTGAAATAAAACAATGAAACAATCAGGAAAAAATCATCGTATTTGTTTCTAAAATAATATTAAAGAATCTATTGAATTAAAATTACCTTTGTAATGCATGTCCCGGTGCATGCTTGGACAAGTTTTCCCAGGATACTGAAAAATAAGAAAATTATGTTTAAAATAAAGAGTAGTAGAGTAATGATACGATTTCATCGATAGCTAATAAGTTGCTCAATTTATTCTTTTCTCTTATCTATTTTGAGTATGGTCTAAAAGATAAGCTAGTATTATTATGATCATGAAAATACGGAACATTTTATATAAACACATCCGAGTTTAAATCATCATTTAGAGTAAATATATATGACAATATAATGATTATAATGTCATACTTGCTTATCTCAAGAGGAGAGAACACCTGCACCGAGCAACGGGCTGTTACGTATTACGTTAGATGTGTAAGTAAAAAAGTGTTACCTTGCTTAAATCAAAATCAATGTTTGTTCTAACGGCTCGATGATGAAGGGGTTGAGGTGGTCTAAAGTTGTTTCCAAGAGGAGCTTTTGGGTGACGGGCGTCACCTTGCATAAGACGTCTTAAGGCGTGAAGCTAAAATAGACCACACGGTTATTCTTCTCAATGTCTTGTCATAATACATTATTTTCTGATAAATTTTAAAATTTGTTATATTTAACTTTATGAAATCTAAAAACATAATAAATAAAAAATTATATGCTTTATTTGAATACACGTTTACATAATTACACTTTGAAAGTACTTTAAAAAAATTTAAAACTTAACGCTATTTAGACACAAATTATTTAATTTAACAGATATAAAAGAAAGATTCAGTGCTGTTTGCACCATGGCGAAATAGTTTCTATTGTTATTCATTCCCAAAGGTAAATCATTGAATCTCAGAATACGATTTCAAGTAAATTGAAATTTCCTTCTTCCTTTAATGTATAGTGTCGACCGTTGTTCAGGTAGGTACAGAGACTATGCGGCGGGATTAATGTGCTCCACACACGCGATAGTTGCTATCTCATTCGCTTCGCGCTTTTCGTTGTATCAAACAATTTGTTTATAATTATAGCTCCGATTTAAGTTTAAATGACTTTCTTTTAGAAAGGAAGTTTAAATTACGCTTATAATATAAATATTAATTTTAATATAGATTATTATGATCGTGTGTCAATGAATAATACAATATATGAAATACGTACTGGAAATATATACCTTAGCACTAAGATACAAGTATTGCTAAGGTATAAATTTCCAGTTCAACATTTCCCGTGAAATGCTTTAAGCAAGAACCGCATGGCGTTTATTCAACTCCCTACGAGATTGCAAGCAGTTTCCACTAACACTTAATTTTCCCACCAACAAACGGAAAACATAAACAATGATTTATAATAACAGCCATACAACGCGGTACTTTCAGTTTACTTTTAACACGTACATAATTCACGGCGAAGTCTTTGTCTAAAGGCGCGAGACGTGAGTTGTTTATTGTAGCGTGAGCACAAATGAAAATGTTATTATGATGCCCTCGACCACAACCAAACTATACAATATAATAACTTGATGGTCTTTAAATTTTTGGATTTTATTTCTATATTTTTTATTTTTTAGAATTTGTTATAAAAATTGAAATGAACGAAAGAATAGGTTGAAAAATATTAAATGTTATAATTTATTAAGGTTTGTAAATTAAAGATAATATTATTTATAATTAATTTATGTTTTATTTCAATTTATATTGCACATGTATATTTTATAATGGTTTAATAATATGAATACTTTTATACACACATTAACTTATTTATTTATAATCTTGTAATATACAAAGCGCAAATAATATAATATAATTTTTGTTTCTAACGAGTAATACTCGGTCGCCCAGGTAATGTATATTTTATAGCTACACATCTATTGGTTCAGCACTACCGTGACTGAAAAATTTGAAACCAATTCTCCAACCAAGACTAAGTCCAAGTCTATATTTATAGTGTTTGATTTTCTTATCTTTCTGATTGCATCGAATCCATTTGAAAAGTCAATGAAAACAAACCTGTTGAAAAGTCATCCAATGGATTGTACGGCTTCATTTTTTTCGCCGTTTTAAAAACAGGGGAGGTATTATACAATTCGACTTGCAAGTATATTACGTGATATCATCGTCAATTAAGGAAAGATATGTTTGTTTGTTTGAATTGAATAGGCTCCGAAACTACTGGACCGATTTAATAAATTCTTTGACTATTAGAATCCTACATTATCCCTGATGAACATAAGCAATATAGTATTTTCAAAAAAGTTAGGGATCCGTATGAAAACTTAGTTAATGTAACCCAAGGTGTGAAAAAAAATACCAAAAAGAATCCTTATATCGCGTACGCTGCGGAAGCTATTGATAATAGAGCAAAGTGATGTAGTTCAGTTTTATAGAGAATATCAATATCAACAAAAAAGTCTGCGATACCATATGTTTAACTTTTACAGTTATGTCACAATAACTACTTCTTCATGTTAAAATATGAAATAGTAACGCTGGTACAAACTAGGCCACATTGTTCGTATAACCTGTACCATGCATAACCACCAATTACGTTAACCATGTAATTTTAGTAACATATTTCACTTTTTAAATCTTTGTTAATTCAGCAACCGTCCGTCGTGATGTCTCTCTCGAAATTCGTATGTCGCAAGGGGTAGAAACGTAATATACGTGATGAAACCGCGGGGCACAGCTAGTCTTCGTATATGTGTGTCTGTGTATCTGTGTATATGTGTACCTGTGTGTGCTGTCTGTGGCATCATAGCTCCGGAACGGATGAACCGATTTTGATTTTGATTGTTTTCGTTTGAAATGTATCTTAATTGGGAGTGTTCTTCGCTATATTTAAAGAAAATCTGTTGAGCCGTTTATAGATCATTAGCTGATTTTGTTTTCGGGGTTTTTAAAATGTTCAATTTAAGTTATGGATCTCTAATTATTAAGTTGACTTTAATGTTATTATCAAACAGGTTATGCATCAAGGATAGTCCCGAATAAACTAAAAACGTCCAAAATTTTTAAATTAACTTTTTGACGACTAGAGTTCATATCAAGATCACAATGTCAATGATTGTGATATTTCTTAATCCACTCAAAAGAGTACAAAAATATTATTTTTAATGTAAACGTCGACTCTATAACACTAAAGCCCGTATTATTAAACGTTACTCAACGACGAACTCAAGTGCGTAATCATTTGATGGGCGTATCATTACGATATCAGCATCTCAAGATCGTTGCTAATTAATAAACACATAAAAACAGTATTTCAAAACGCTGTACTTAGAAATACTGTTCTGTGACTTGCACTCAAGTACACACACTTGAGAGTCGAGTTTCGTTTATTTATCAGTGTGGCACTCAGCTGATATCGTAAACCTAAACCGCATCTTGAGATATGTTTATTAATAAGATCATAACCTCAAGATTGTACTCAAGTGCGTGTACTTGAGCTGAGTAACGTTTATTAATACGGGCCTAAGAATGAAATAATTTTACATTGTGAAGTCTAGTCTTTTATTCTTCCTTTGTCTTATTATGGCCCATAAACACCTACGTTTATCCTCGATGAAGAACCAAAATGTAGATCCGTTATCACCTCTGAGGACTAAAATGAAATGCCTATGTTTAAAGGGTTTTAATTCAGAGGTAAGCATTATCTGCTACGGAACGCTGGTAAATGTGTGCTGAAAATACAAAGAATTGGTTTTCGAGACGGGTTGTTTTGTGATTTTGTATTGATATAGCTGACTATATTTGACTTTAAAGCATAAGAATAACGTCGGGTAGAGATTAAAGAAAACAGTGGAGTCGCTACAAAATTTGTAGAGACTCATATTTAATGTGATTCTCTTCTGTGCACTTAGTAGTTTCCGATAATTGAAAAATGTATCATGTCAAATACCGGACTGGAAAATATAACAATCAACAATATTACTAAAATTAATATTTTTGTAGTATTATTTATTATTCCTTTATTTGTAAATAATACTTTTATAAAATTTTCCCAAATTTTAATTGTTTTCACAAGCCCTATTCAATAAGTTCAAAGGTAGGTTATTAGTATAAAAAAACTTCAACCAATAAATATTAATAAGTTACTACCTTGGTAATTTTACCTGTTGTTTGGTGATATATATGGGTTTGTTAATTATTATCCACGTCACGGTCTCAAAACACGCCGGAGCCGTCGTTGACCCGTCATAGGTCATGTAGTAGTCCGTATCAGGTAGCAGGCCTCGAACTGATAATCTGTTTACAGGCATCTCGGCGCCTAAAAAATGTTCCTTCTCGTACATAACTAGGAATTTATTATTTATATTATACATTATTTACGTAATGAAGAATTTCAAAATATATTCCGCAAATTTATTACAAATTTAGAGATCGTCTACGATATCTTATCTTTTATAATTAATGATAATTTCTTAATAGAATATTAATTTTGCACAACACACAAATAAAGACGTTTTGTGACGGACGGGTGATTTTGTGAGTGTAAAGCTGATACTCTCGCGCTTGTATGGCTAGAGCCTAGTCTGTCCATTAACGGAATGTAACACGTAACGAGCAAATTAGATTTTCTTATTAAATAAACTAATAATTGCACGCCTGATACATTTAATTTTTATTTATCACTCGTTTATTAATTTAATGTTGTATTAGAAATCAAATTTTTTTAACGGTCATTAAAAAAAAGTATGCATGTTTGAGCACTTTTTTGGTTAATAACAGATTTTAATGAAATAGTCATTTCCCCAACACAAGAAACTTTTGTTAAATATTCAGGAGTCTGTTATTTCTGGTGTGGTCCCATAATTTCTTAGAAATTTTCTACCCAAAGGGTGAAAAATAGGAGATGAACTAATTATATGACAATCTAATTGACCTTGAACTTGTAATATTCCTTAGTTCACTCAAATTAGTAAAAATTTAAATTATAAAAAAATTAAAAACTGGCTTCAAAAAATGAAAGGAATCATTAAAATCGATTCATAAACAAAGAATTAAAATAAAAAAATAATGTAGGAACTAATTAAATAATAAAAATAAATAATTTGTAAATTGGCTTTTCACGTCGGGGTTTTTTCAGAAAGTTTGAATTTATATGCAAATTATTTTATTATTTTTAGTTTTTGCTGTCGGTTTTTTTTTTTTTTTTTTTGTTGAGCTTTATCCGAAAATATGAAGCTAAAACTTTTCGTGATTTATTAAACTATTTTTGAATCAATTCATGCTTAATAAATAATTAGGTTACAAGGTATAAGAAAACTATTTTTAATGTAAGCTTATATAGAGACAGAACCCACAGGTATATAAACGATGATAACCCAAACATGCTGTTTGTAAACGGTGTAAATTCTTTAGAAACTTTTTCTTAATGTTAAAATATAAAACATTTCAAAACAAATAGCGAAATATCTATTAAACATTGATTTAATAAATATGCATTATTTAAATCTTACCTCCGTATTTAATATTTTCCAGCTCTTCCGTCAATATCCTTAGTTCTGGATTTGACAAATCCCCAAGCTGAAACAAAGAATTTTAAGCCACCGGTGAAGGAAACAAATGATTTCGCACCTTAAGTCGAAACACTAATTGTACCTATTAATTGTGACTATTTAACAAGTAACACCTATATATCACATCTATTGTCTAACTAGTCTCACGACATGCGCGTCACTTTTTACTTTGTCGCTTTAACATATTTAACATATACACAACTAATTTAAGACAACATTCGCCTATACATTGACTGGCCTGTCTATTAAATTCACTCACAAACAAAACTAATAGCAACACATATTCAATGTCTCCCTAACCAAATTCAAAAAGAAAATATTACATAAATTGAACACAGCTGTTGAACCCTCAATGTAACCGATCTCTTTGATTCTTTATTCAGCATTATCTTTATTTTTGTCATTTTCATACTTGTTATATTGTATTTGATTCATAGTATGGTTGCCTATTATTTGTAATATATCTATATTTGAAAACATATATTCAGTGATAATATATATGTCACGTTACACCCACTTGAGATACATTTTGATGCTGTATATGAAACAGCCTTGAAAACTTTGGACAACAACAATTGGGAGTTGTGAAAGAACGTATAACCATTTTATAAATTACAATAAAGTATATGATATTAATTTGTATTCAGTATATTTTTCGATTAGACAGCTCTTAATTTAAACTAATAGCTTTGGCGGCTAACCCAATGCCGCAAAAAAATCCAATTTCCTTAATTAACTACCTCCAGTTTGGATGGAAGCTATGAGGTGTGGCTGCGTTGATAACGTTTTGTCGATAACTTCGATCGTGTTAAAGCGCACTCCTGATATTCGATAATACATATTTTTATGAGAATCACGCTTCAGCACTCGAATAACGAATTACTTTCAAGTACTAAATAAAGTGTTTTGGGTCACATAATACATTGTAAACTTCTTCTCACTTCTGAATATTAAAACAAAAGTTGAATGTGTCTCAAAAAGATCACTTACTTGTAATAGCAATGATATCGATACGATTCCTTGAGCTTTATGCAAAGCTTCAGAAAAGTTCGAATAAAGTTGCGAATTGAATCCAAATATTTGTATCTGAAAAAAAAAACGTTATGTAGAAATTGCATGTTACATCATATTAATAAATTAAAAAGAGTTATGTGTATTAGTTTATTATTTATCACTATAAATATTTCAATTATTTTTAAGATTAACATTGTGTAGTAAATAAAAGTAAAAATATAGCAAATTGATTTCCTATCTTCAATACTTCAAGTAGAAAAACAAAAATATAAAGATAGTACATATTAAATGTTTTTTTTTAGAAAGTACCAAAATTTCAGGATTTCAAAAAAAGAAATAGTGTGGGCCATTGAAATAAATTCCATTGTGAAAAAAAAATACTTCAAAAATCTGCGATAAAAGCGGACGGATAAAATCGGATACACGGGAGGATAAGCACATGATTTTAGATTTAACGCGTTTGCGTAAGAATTTGTCACATAAATAAACAGGAGGCATGCTTGAGTTGGTTCACAGTCGCTCCACGGGATTACATTTGGGATTTCAACGTCTCAGAGAAGAAAGTGTGGCGCAACTGGGCGATGCGTGAAGAAACATCTGTAACGAATTCTTTTAAAAACATTGAAGGATTACACGTTAACATAAAATAATAATATGATAATAAAGGATTTAAGAAATAGGCACATTTACGACATAAATATGCTTCTAGCAAATGTTTTTCTTGTTATTTTTTTTAAACCATGATTCCTAAAGTAAAACTTTTTTTATATTATAATGGCATTGTAAATTATTATGAAATATGCTAGCTTTGCAAATGATGTCAAAGTTGGAAAAAGTAGTTACTTAAAATAATAATTTCTTCGAAGAATAGAATTTTAAAGAATTTCTAGTTTACTAGTGTGCACAAGTAGTAACAAACTAGTGCATTAAGATGATATAACCATTGTGTAGCCTAACAATTAATATCACCTTAAGTGTTTGTATTAGAAAGTGTCTGCAATCAATTAGTAGAACGTCTATCTTTGTTTACTAAACGAACTTCGGCACAACTACAGCAATACATTATTGTGCGCTCAATACCATTCAATCTTAGTGTTAGTGTGCTTGCTTTTAAGCTCCGCTAGTTGCTTAATCTGTAATCGTTTGTAGCCTTTAAGATACGGATAAGAAGTTTTTCGGAATAGGAAATTTGTTTGTCTTTTTTGTAATTATATTATTGTCAAACTGTAAAGTTCATTACTAACTCTTTGTGTTATAGGTGCTTTATTTGCTAATAATTCGGCCCAACCCTCCCCCCCCTCCTATCAACATGGTAGCGGAATTGAATGTAATCAGACTACACGACCAAGCTACAGCACTCCTGAGCGTGGGTGCTCAGGCTACCCCGCGTATTCTGGGAGGTGGGGCATAATTCCGCTCAAGACTATAACTGCTCGGGGCAAACTGAGCAACAAGACCGAGGTGACCCTCGCCACGCTACCCGTGAATTTCTATAATACCAGGGGACTTCACTCAAACATAAACGCCGTCCTCTATCATCTCGAGACGGCGAAGCCGGCCTTGCTCTTTCTTACTGAGACGCAGGTGTCCTCTCCGGCTGATACTTTCTATCTCTCCTACCCGGGGTACAAATTGGAACATTCCTTTGTGCCTCAGGCTGGAGTTTGCAAATACGTAAGAGACGTTCCATTATTTGAATACGCGTAGACAGCGACGACCATCTGCGCGTCTACGGGTGCCTCTATAGGTCCCATAGCAGTAATTCCGAAAAAGATCGACTCATCGACCACGTTATAATGGCTACATATTCCTTGCTATAACAGATCCCATCCACAGAGATCGTGATTCTTGACGATTTTAACGCCCACCACGCCGAATGACTCGGTTCACGTTTAACCGATCATGCAGGGAGATTTGTTCATGATTTTGCCTTGGCATATGGTCTGACACAACTGTTGCTTCCCTGTTGAACCTTCTGCTGACCTCTCATCCGGACAGATATTAGGTCTCAGTTGACGCCCCTTTTGGCTTCTCGGACCATTGTCTAGTCTGGAATGAGGTGCCACTCACGCTGTAATCGCGGTTGCTTTCTGTAGGCTGCCGCCGTGATTGGCACTATAGGTCGGCCGATTGGGATTGGATGCGGACTTTCTTTGCATCTTATCCTTGAGAGCGGATTTGCTTCTTACCGGACGATCCCGATGTTGTTGCTAATGCTGTTGTTGATGTGGTACTTCAGGGTATGGATGTTTTTATTCCTTCCTCTGTGGTGCCCATCGGAGGAAGATCTCAGCCATGGTTTAGCCGCTCCTATAAAATAGCATCACGCTGCAAGCAAGACTGTTACCGGGCCTGGGCTGACGCATCATGGGGTTTAAACACCACCGTCCTTGAAAATAAGTATAATTCCGCCTCCAGGTTCTTAAAAAAAATTATTGACAAGGCTAAGTCAGAGTACATAGGCAAAATTGGCGAGAAAATAGTTCGCTTTCCTTCAGGAACCCGTGCATTCTGGTCTCTGGCTAAGGCTGTTGAAGGGATCTTCTGTCAGCGGTCTCTTCCATCTCTGCACAGGTATGACGACTTACTGTCCCATGCTGCAAAAGAGAAAGCCGATCTCCTAGGCTCTTTCTTTGCATGCAACTCTACTCTCGATGACGGGTAGAACACACCGCCGACCATTCCGCGGTGTGAGTGCTTCATGCCGGATGTACGGTTCACAAAGCGCTTGGTTCGCAAAGCACTCCTCTCCCTGGACTTCCACAAGTCGAGTGGGCCTGACGGAATCCCCCCAATTGGGCTGAGGACGTGTGTCCCGGAGTTAGCACCGGTTCTAACACGTCTTTTCCGGTACTCCTACTCCCTAGGCGTAGTCCCGAAAACATGGAAGACAGCTTTTGTCCACCCGATCCCTATAAAAGGCGACCGCTCAGACCCATCTAACTACAGGCCTATCGCCATCACCTCCTTGTTCTCCAAAAGGATAAAATCCATTATAAACTGCCAGCTCATGGGGTACCTTGAGGATCACCAGCTGATTAGAGATCGCCAATACGGTTTTGTTCGGGGTCGACCAGCTGATGACCTTCTGGTCTACCTGACTCATAGATGGGCGAAGGCAGTAGACTCCAAGCGGGAGGCATTGGCCGTTAGTTTGAACATGCGCTTCTTTCGAAGCCCCCTTGCTATGGGCTTCTCGAGAAATTGTGCAATTGGATCACCAGCTTTCTTGCAGATTTCGAGCATCAAGGTCGTAGTATGAACGGTGCATGCTCTAATTACAAGCTTGTTAACGCTGGTGTTCCACAAAGCTGCGTGCTATCACCAACGCTGTTTCTTTTGCACATCAATTATATGTTGCAAACTCGTAACATTCATTGCTATGCAAACGACAGCACTGGTGATGCTTTATACACAAAGAAGAGAAGGCCAAATTGGCCCCTAAAAACCTTGACGTGCTCTGCAGCGGGACAGTAGTTCATGCCGGCACACCACCTGCAACTTTACAAGGCGCAGATTTGGCCTCACATGGAATATGTGAGGCCAAATCTGCGCCTGTTCCCGTCTCTGAGCTTCCCAGTATTAGCTCCTTCCTCATGACCGCATCCAGCGCAAAGCGGCTCGAATCGGCGACGACAGAGTCCTTTCCGATCGGCTCGATTTACTGACACTGGGAAGATATGTGCATCCCTTTGAATTTCCTTTCGCATTTACCACGGGGAGTGCCCTGAGGAATTGTTCGGATTAATTCAAGCCGCCAAATTTCAAGCACGCACATCGCGGCAAAACTCCAGATACCATTAACACCATCTGGATGCCTGGCGATCCGCCTCTGTACGTTCCACTAGAAGTTTTTTCCGCGTACGACCTCTCAGTGGAATGGTTTACCACCGGGAATTTTTCCGGACCGATACGATTTAGGGACCTTCAAGAAAATATCTTACTCTTTTTTAAAAGGCCGACAACGCACCTTCAATTCCCCTCTTGATGCAGTTGTTCATAGGCGGCGGTAGTCACTTACCATCAGGTGAACCGTATGCTCATTGGACCCCTCTCCTATAAAAAAGGAAAAAAAATTGGGGAGGTGTAATAAGGAATCAATCGCTCTATTCGTAACGAATAAAAATAATGTAATAGTTGACTTGGTAAACAAAAAGTCTCGCATAAAGTAAAGTTACATAGACATGGTTTTCAGCCGGGAAAGGCCAGCCGTGCTTTTTATTTAATTTGTTAGATAAACATGCAAGTTTCTTCCCGATTTTTTACTACACTGTCGAGCACATGGTAAGTCAGCACTTAACATATAATAAAATGCAAAATTCATAAATTAACAATGCATAAACAATTAGCACATTTATAATGGCCAATCGTGATAACTGTGATCGACATTTTGCCTAACAAGTTTGCCAGACATTGATGCAATTCCCGTAGCTGATGCAGTTAGTTAAGTTATGTGATAAGGGAATCTCAGCCTGCCACAAAATGAAAATTGTATTGTTATAGACTAAAAATTTACAATGTAGTGGCAGAGTCTACTACCCCATATCATCCCTTAGGTGATGTAAGAGGCGACGGAGGAAAATAAACCAGGAAATGGGCGGCAGCTTCTTCCTAATAATATCGAACAAAAATTAAATACTGAGGTGGCCAACCCGCCTGCCACGCGTTGCAAGTATGGTAAATATCTCAATTGAGGTAATCTATGGGGGAGGCCCATGATTGTATTTGCTTCATTTGGAGGCCTATAGTATGTTCAGCAGTAGACTTTCATATGTATAACAGTAACAGTAGACTGCATATATTACATTTAAATAACATATTATATTCAATATAGTTTTTTTTACTTTGCACTAATGCGATTAATGCTTACTTGAGTTATTATGTTTATAAAGCATCGCAATATTATTCCCTCTATAATACGGAAATAAGAAAAATGGAAATACGATAGCGATACTCACCTCGGCGGGAAATGAATATCCATTGATGGCGTGCTCGGATCCAAATTGATCGTGAAGTCCGTAATGAATATGTATCTCATGGAATTGATACTTGTACGATAGAGGGCCGCCGGTTATATTTATATGATGACGAGTCTCATTTTCGACCGTAAATATGACTGAGTGACCCGTATTGCTAATTAATCCGTTTATCTGTTGGCAGTTTTCTTTTTTAAAATATTTTTCTTTTAATTTTATGTGTGATAAATATAGATTTTTAAGTTGATAAATTTGTGAAGAAATCATTAAATCAAAAACGATTTTTGTAGATTAACCTTATACATTGAAACTATTCACTAATATATTTTGCAACTATTCTATGAGATTTTTCAACAAAAATCATCAGTATGTTATTGTAATTCAACAAATAATGGAACACAATTATTATAAAATAAAATATACTCCATATTATTTTATATATTTAAAACGTTGATTATTTTTAGAACATACCCTATGTTTATCTATGTGTAAAAAGCGAAGGTTGGGGTCGAAGAGCAATTTTTCCGGCTCGAGGTTCACCGGTGATTGCCGCCGGCCTTTGTTGCATAAAGACCATTCTGGATTGATCAAACCCCAGAACGCTGGACCTAAAATGTGATATGAGCTAAAATAACACAACTTAAATTATGCACTTCTTTTTGAAAGCCACAAATTCTAAATAATACAATATTCATATACTGAATCATTTAGAAAATTTGTGTCTGTGTTCCAAATATTTCCTAGAGAAATTTCAGGAGACTATGTAAAATAAACTGGATTGTCGTACTTATATCCATGAAACTGAGATTGAGACATGTTTTCCCTTGTTAGGAATTTCTTTTCTTTCGTTTTTCCACAGGTTTGCTCCAAATTTTCGATTTTCTACAGGATACATTTCGGGGAGTATGAGTAGGAATCACATAAATTAATTGCTCCTTCTTCCTTTCACCATTAACAAATCAGAACCTCAGCCAGCCTATACCCTTTCATTGGTGATTTACCACGCGTTTAAACCAAGGGGCTTGCTTCATCGTTCGTTATGTGTACAGCAAAGGTGTGTAATATTCTTCAAGGCAAGAGTGAATAAGATTGTACTAAGTATTACTTCTCACCATCAGGTGTGATAGTAGACAAACAATGACTTAGTATAATAAAAAAATCGTTCAAAATAACTGTTAATATTGGAAACATAAGAGGGATACCGTATGGCGTATGTTAAACAATATTTGAAAGAAAGCTGACGAAGAAGAGAATATTCGTTGTAAGTTTCTAAAACATAACCTTCCTTGTAAAAAAAGCAATAACAAAAGTTATATTTTTACATTATAACTAGCTCTACACGAATAATAGCCTAATTTTTAAAGCATTTTATAATAACTATTATAGAAAGCTTTGAAAATTATAACTTATTGTTATTAATTAAATAACTGATAAAATTATCATCATCACAGCCCATCACAAGTCCACTGCTAAACATAAGTCTCCCTCAAGGAATGTCACAAAGCCCGGTCCTCAGCCACCTGTATTCCCATCGGTAGTCGGTTATTCGAGCTATATGCCTGGCCAATTATCACTTCAGCTAAATAATCTGTTGGGCCATGCCGGTTACTCTGGTTCTACTGCGGATATCCTTATTTTTAATTCTATCACGCAGTAAAAACCCAAGCATAGCCCTCTTCATAGCTCGCTTTGCGACCTTGAGCTTCCTCATACGGCCAGCAGTGAAGGACCACATCTCAGATCTAAAGCCATCACTGGCAACACGCACTGGTTGTACAATCTTGTTTTGAAGTTTTGAAAATTACGTGATGTGAAGTTGTTGTCTTATACTCCTGAAAGATATACCTTATACCTGACGAGGAGGTGTGTCTTAATCACTCGAACGCTGCCCAGCTAAGTTGAATCCGTCGACTGAATTCTCGGTTGAAGTTGGACTTATCTAGTAGACTATTTGTCGCAGGTAAACATACTCGTCAACAACTTCGAACGTAGTGCTCCCAACAACTACCGGCATAGGTGTGATATGGACGTTACACATTACCTTTGATTAGTCAACGTTCATCTTAAGACCCATCCGTTGGAAGACACTATTGAAGTTGTTAAGCATAGTGCATAGGTCGTCCAGTGATTTTGCTTTATGAAATTGATGTTAATACCAAATCATTTCCAGTTCAGTAGCTTGAAAACATCTTCCAATGTAGCGGTGAAGAGTTTCGGGTATATAGCGTCGTATAAATATCTGCAGTTAGATAGGTTTCGCAGTCTGATTCTGTACTCAAATGGCCATCATAGCCCTACTATACAAGCACTTCAGCACGTCGATATACCGATAGTTCAATTAACACAGCTGAAGGGAATGTAACACCTCCCAAATTTCGACGGAATAAAGGCTTTCTCATAGTTCACATACTCAACACAAAGTGGAAAATTGTACTCTTCGGTCTTTCTTTACAAATTGAAGATGGGTATGTATGTGGTCTATGGTGCTAAACCCTTTTCGGATTCATGTGTGCGACGATTCATAATGTCTCTTGCAAACAGCACGTATACATGGTTCAGAAATCGGTCGGTAGTTCTTCAACACATCGTTTTTAAAAGCGTTCTCCAACCATGTAGTGCTGGGATTAGTGGTCGAGGGGATAGTGCACGCAATTTAAGTAGGTTGTGAGGTGATTTTTAACAATATAAGACACATTATTTTATTTTATTACGCGGCTTTTAGCTAATTAATTTTTACAACATGTTTAATATAATATATTTCCGAAAAGTAACATCTCATTCTATTAAATAACTGGTAGAAGAGTTATTGGGTATTGCAGAACTTAGTGTCGACTGCATGGACAGTTTCCACGACCTTGTTATTCATATCGTCCACTCTGTTGCGGTCTTCCAAGCACTAGTAACGATTTTGTAACACAAGCTAAAAGTTTTAGGGACTTGGGAATAGAGAACGTAGCTTTGACATAGATGTGACCTCTCCAACTTAACATATAGGTTCAGTTTTGCCTCTCACCATTCGGTGATCGCTATCAGTATTTCTCCTCACGATCACTGAGACATCACTGAACAGTTGCAGTCTGTTCTTCATAATAAAATTAATCTTATTATTTGTCGAACCGTTGGGGCTTGAGCAAGTACACTTTCTGAGGAGCCGCTTCTGGAAAAAAGATGATGAAGAGACTCTATTTTTTCATGATGTTGGCAAGCTGAGCTCTTTGGTTCCTTTGCCCTATTCCGAATATCCCTTCCTTCAGCTCACCGTCCTCTCTTAAGCCAAGTTTTGCGTATTGAAGTCTACCATTAACACCGTATAGTGGGTTTTCACATAATTCATGGTATTTTTATAGGATAGGGATACAAACGAGCACACAGTTCACCTGATGGTAAGTGGTTGCTGTGACCCATAGACATCCGCTTCTATCCTCAATAAAGAATCTAAATGTAGATGCGTTGTTACCCGTGAGAACTAACATGGAATGCCTCTTTTCCAGTAAAAAGGGTCTCCGGTTCTCTAAACAGAGATTCTAGAGATATCCTAACACATTTCCTCCACTTCCTCATCGGGATGTGTTAAGTTTGGTGCGTAAACCTGTATGAATACTTCAATTAATACCGTTTGGTGATTTAGAATATAAGGTACGCAAACCTCGTTGACACACACGCAACCTTTATAATGTTGTTTCGAACGACTTGTGATCGATAATTTGGACATCTCCTTCAAAGAGATGGTCGACTTCCCGGTGATAGAATAAGTTGCCGGATTTGGGGAATACCTTGTCTTTCCCCTCTCTTCACACCTTCAATAATCCAATAATATCCCAGCGCAACTTGTCTATCCCTTCTTCCAGCTCCATGATCTTCTCGGCAGTCCTCAGGTCGAGTGGTGGGGATGCTAAAAAGCACCTTCTTAGTACCCCCTGCCCCGCGTTACCATGGTCGCCACCGGAGTCAAGAATAGCGGGGCCGCCGAGGACTTCTTTGTGTCGTGGCTCATGGAGAGATGTTTGCCATAGATTCTACGCTTGGCAAACCGCAGATTTGTATGAAAGATGCTGCTGTCCATCTCGTGCCTCAGTTTCTCTCTGTCGCTTCTTACGAAACCCACGGGAAGATTAAGGGTATGCTTATATCGTTACTACATGGTCACTTAAATAATTATATAAATTTTAATAGATAATAGCGACTCCTAAAAAATGCGGAAACATAACAAGGTATTTAGTTTTATTAACTTACAAATAATAATCTATAAATATATCGATTGACGTGGTAGAAATACGCTGCAGCTATAATATGTTTGCAGCACGAATGGGTTGTCCGACCAGGAAATGAAACGCTCTCAAAAAACACCAGCGTAAATAGCAGCATAATGCCTATGTATTCGTAATTGTATTGTGTAATTTTTTATGATGAGTATAGTGTCCCTTTTTTACTAACGAGGCATTCTATCTTGGTTGTCATAGGTGTAAACGCATGTGGATTTCAATTCTTCTTATTTGAAAATAAATAACCATGGGCTATGGTGTTCAATTATTAGGTGGAACGTGTTTTCGTTTGTTACCATTATTCTTAAAAAAATATATATTCAGTTTACGATTATTCAAAAATTCTCAATATCCTCATAATTTAAAAGATGTCATATTTGTGTAATTTTACAATTTTGCTTTAATTATTTATTTTTAATGAAAAATGTTATTGAGAAAAGCTCTTTGGTTGAATATGTTGGTTACCTACTAGCGTGTTAGATAATAACGAAATATTCTTGGTGATGAATTGAAAAAATGATAATAAATGAAATAACTAATAGAATATTAAGTGCATTTTAAGTAATAAGATATTTCGTTAGATATAACGTGATTCATTAAATATTGTACTTAGAATATTTTTTACTTATATCTAATTAGCTTCTGACGTAGCACGAAAGTGCAAAGGCTTTTTTTCAGTTTCTTTTCCCTACAAAATAAGCTATAATACTAGCCATTAATAAAAATATTTCAAAACACGTGAGGTTATTGTAGAGTGGTGGACTTTTCACTACTCTAGAACCTCCTCAGCAATAATAATAGTAATAGTGTAGACGGCCTTGGCGGCTGTAAGGAAGCGAGATAGAACAATATCCATCTCCCTCGCACTTATGTTATCTTTCAATGAAAGAAATATTATTTTTATTTTAAATGACGCTTCTTTTTAATAGACGCTCGTAATTCATTTACTTGTATTTGTATCAATAATAATATACCACTAAAGGAACTTCGTTCCAACCGAGTGTTACACGACACTCACGCATATTTTTTTTTTATGTGAATCGATTTTAATGATTTTTTTTCAAAGATAAGTGCATGTGATAAATGCATTCATGTGAAATTTTTTAAAGTCCCATATCTGAGCCGAAAATTGAACCGAGTTTTTTACGATACCGTCGAGGTGATATGAGGTAGTGGATATTCTTACACTGACACTAAACGGTAATATATAAAGCCAATGATTTAAGACAAATATTGTCACTATACGTTAATACATTAATCGAAGGAAGTCGATGGAGCCCAACATAATAAATAACAAAAAACGAATTAAATGTTGATCTGATAAATTTTCCTTAATCCATACCAAG